CCATCTTGGTCGCCGGGCTGGGCTCAAGCTTGCCGCGCACGCGCACTTGCACACGCACGTGCGGGCAGGCGCAGGCGTGGATTGGCGTTGGCGCATGCGCAGAGCCCGAGTTCTCTGCTCTCCGCGTGTTCCGCCGCCTCGCGGGAGTGGAAGCCCGCGCGTGGGGCTGCCTGTGCCTGGCTCATTTCACTCCCGCGATGTCCTCACGTGTGCCAGGGTTTCCTTGTTTAGAGGCTGGATGGCAGCCCATCGTGTGGCGTTGTTAACGTACACGGGACCTGACAGCGCGGTCAGGGTTGGTCTCCGTGTTCAGGAGGTTCTTCAGGCGGAGATCATGACGACACGGCCTGCCGTCGTAAACGGTGAACGCTGCGTCCAGGCCGTCTTGGCGCCAGGTGGTCGCGCGCGTGGGTCCGAGAGCGCGGAGAGACTCGCGGGCGCGAAGTTTACACACAGGCCGGAGTCACTTCTGTTTCCTGGAAGAAATTGCGTGAATTCGGTGTGACATCCTCTTGGAAACGAATGGCTGGCTGCCCGCGCCTCGCCCGGGGATCGCCAGGTCGTGAGTCGCCGTGGGCGGCCGTGCAGTCCGTGGGTTCCAGGCTTCCTCGTGTGAGTGTGTGTGTGCCGGAGAAGGTCGCGGTGAAGGCGCGCTGTGCCCCGCGTGGTGCGGACGGAGCCTGCGCGGGGCCGGTTGTGTGGGCCCTGGCCTCGGCCCTGCCGCGCAGACAGGCCTCCTTCCTCCGGCAGTGCGTTAGGAGGCGAGGCGAGTTCGGAGCTGTCCGCCCGCCCGGTGCACGGCGTCCTCCCGCGGGGTTCGGAAGCCGGCGGGGCGCCTTTCCTGTCGTCTTCGCGGCTGCAGCTCCTGTGCTCGCCTGAGCGCGGCGGCGTCTCGGCCGGTCCTCACCGCCGGGTGGACAGACCCGGAGCTGGGAGCCCGGGGGTCGCCGAGGCTCTGGGGGGAGAGGCCCGGCCGAGCCTGCGTGGCTGAGGTGGGGCGGTCTCCCACGCGCTGCCAGCCTCAGCAGTGGCCTGGCGCTGGCCAGCGCAGTGAGGAGTGGTTTCCCAGAGCGGTGCAGACTCAGGCTGAAAGGGGGTGGCCGTGACCAAACTGCTGCGAGGTTGGCCGGAACCTCGAAGGCTCTATGAATGAACGTCCGGCTCTGGCTCGTGTTTACCCTCTGACATCTTAGGGATGAGCTTTGCAAACGAAGGAGAGACGTTTTTTATGAAGCCGGGTGCACTTTCTCTAAGCCTGGCCTGTAGTCTCCTCAGCGACCTTTGCTCTAAACCCGAGCTTCCCTGCGCTCTGCTGCGTTTGTGGAGGTAGAACACGCTGCGCTCTGCTGCGTTTGTGGAGGTAGAACACGCACCTGGGAACCGTAGGCTGTGCTTCAGTGTTGCCATGTGACGGAACCGTGTGGGGAATTTTCCCTGGGTTGTCTCATTAATCCTTACCTTACCCTCCCTTCAAGGCAGGGTAGGGAACCTTGCCTCTGCCAGGGGCCATTTGGATATGTATACCGTTGTTCAGGCCGTGTAAAATTATGAACTTAAAAATTAGCTTGCTGTAGATTGATGGAATTTTTGTCCTGGTCGTGGTTGCCTTGGCAAGGCTGGACCGAATGATTTCACAGGCTTTATACGGTCCATGAGCCAAGTGCTTCCCCACCACTGCTTTAAGGAATCTAAACTCTGAACTCGCATTTTGTGGAAGTGATAACAAGATTGGAGAGGTTGAAGAGTGCCCCCAAGGTCACTTAGGTCAACCATGGACTCAGATTTGAACATAAGTCCATCTGACTTCTTTAACCATTGCTGTGTGTGCTCTCTCCGGTGTTTACTTTCTTTTTATTGGGCATGAGAGACTAAGGGTTTAGTTTTCTTTTGTTTGGATCCTTAGGAAGTTTACCAGTCACACAGAGCCGGAGCTGGCCGGGAGGTGAGGTATTAGCAGTCTCCTGGAGGTGAGTCGCACAGACCCACTTCACACAGATGCCCCTGCAGTACTGTCCGTGCTCTGTCCCTCCCCGCTGCTCCTGTCCGCGCTCTGCTACTCTTGGCGGGGTGGCCCCTTCTCCCTGTCTGCCGCAGGGGAGGCTCCAGATGCAGCCAGCTCCTCCGTGCTCCCGGGAAGAGAGCTGTGTTCGGCAGCTTCGGCTGAAACGCCCCAGGGAGGGCCAGGGACTGGGACAGCGCCTCGTGCGCTGCCTGGGGCGGGGGTGCTTGTCCTCTTCCGGATGACAGGTGCTGTTTGGTGGCTGGAAGGTGTAGATAGCATTTAAAGGTGATGCACACTGTATTCTAACAGCTTTACAAGTTATGATTTATGTGCTGTGCAGCTCATTGGACGGTGCAGCCATCGTCCTGCCTCATGGAGCATTTTCATCACAAAAGGAAATCTCTCACTCATTTTTCCCAGCTCCCTCAGCCCTAAGCGACCACTGATACTTTCCATCTGCACAGATGTGCCTTTCTGGACATCTCATGAAAGTGGAATCATACAGTACGTGGGCTTCTTTCACTTAGCATATATGCCTTTTAAAATTTTTTTAAAGATTTATTTATTTATTTGAAAGAGCTACACAGAGAGAGAGGAGAGGCAGAGAGTGAGAGAGTGAGAGAGAGAGAGAGAGAGAGAGGTCTCCCATCCGATGGTTCACTCCCCAGGTGGCTGCGATAGCTGGAACTGCACCGATTCGAAGCCAGGAGCCAGGAGCTTCTTCCGGGTCTCCCACGTGGGTGCAGGGGCCCAAGGACTTGGGCCATCTTCTACTGTTTTCCCAGGCCACAGCAGAGAGCTGGATCGGAAGTGGAGCTGCCGGGTCTTGAACTGGTGCCCATATGGGATGCCAGCGCTTCAGGCCAAGGCGTTAACCTGCTGCACCACAGCGCTGGTCCCATGTCTTTTAAAATTTTAAAATTTGTTTTCATCTTGTTTGAAGACAGAGAGCCAGATAAACATTTCCCATCTACTGTATGTTTCTCAAATACCTGCAAACAACCAGAGCTGAACCAGGCCCAAACCCAAAAGCCTTGAACCCTGTCTTGATCTCCCCTGTGAGAGGCAGGGACCCACCTACTTGGGTTATCATCTTCTGCCTGCCGTGGCACTCATTTGCAGAACTGGGAGTGGACCCAGGACTTGAACCCAGGCCCTTGGATACGGAGTGCGGGCATCCTAAGCGGCAGCTTAACTGTTGTGGCAAAGCCCACCCGGGTTTCTTTGGTTATGGCTGTCTTGGTGCGTGTGAACTGGAATGTTGTCTTGTTGTTTCAATAAAAGTTCCCTTTCTTGTCGTCTTGTATTGTCCTGGAGCTCTGCCTGTGGGGTCTGCACACGTCAGCACAGCTGGCCGGGGAGCAGAGCATATGTTTGTTTTTCTACATAGAGTTTGTAAGTCTCAGAGGTTGTAAGTGCTGGAGTTGATTGGTCAGGGCTGGAGCAAGGATTTGTGTCTCTGGTTGCTGGGTGATATCAGCCCTTTGTGATATGACAGGTGACATTCACATGAGACTCATTCTCACGAGTGTCCATGGTGTTGGGTGTATTTCCCAGCAAAGGGGTCTTAGACATATGAGGGTGAGGGCACTGTTTTGAGGGTCATCTTTATTAATTTGTTCACAGACTTGACTCTCTCCTTTCCTTAGTACGACTGACCTGCACCACCCTCAGAACCCGGCCATTTCTTGGTTCGTAATTGTTGTCTGTGACCCCCTGATTATCACGATGATCTATATGAACTGCGCAAGGCTGGGCAGCACTCACTCACCTTGGAGTGGTGTAAATATTTGGTCAGCTGGCAGTCTCTGGCTGGGGCGGTCCAGATGGTCTTCCATCTGCAGCCCTCTCGCTAGCCCTGGGGCAGACAGCACTGTTGGGAGCTGGTTGTAGATTGGCGTGCATACCTCTGAGTTGAGCTTTGCTTCCCCAGCACACCTTAAGTGAGATCACTTCTTAGGTGAGAATCTTGCTGATCTCTTGCCATCGGTGTAGCACGTGTAGCACATGACATTGTAGGAGGGTCTTTCAAAAAAGTTCATGGAAAATGTGTATTGGGAATAAAATATGTGTGGATTTCAAAATATTTGCTCCAGAATAAACTCATCTTTTCATTCCATCTCCCATGAACTTCTTGAGGTGCTCAGGCATAGTTCAGAGGCCTACTTGTGGTTGGGAATTACTGTCCAGATGGTGCTTGGTGTCACGATGGCTTTGAGCAACAGCAGGGAGAGAACGTGTGCCAGTGACCGTGTGCCTTACGTTTCCAGTGACACGGCAGCCTACATAAGATCACACAGAATGGAGCTTGCACGTGTTTAACCGCACGCTTATAAAGGTGAGGGCATGCCAGGAAGAGGCGTGGGGTGCAATGAACTACACCAGTAACAGCCCCTGTTCTGCTGAAATGACATTCCAGGGAGCCTGATGACTCACTGTGAGGTCATTGACATGTGTGACAGCAAGAGGCAGAATAGTTGGAGCTTTCTGGTAGCAGTGTCTGAAAACTTTGAAACTCCAGAAAATAGAAATTAAACATGTTTACCTGGCTCTTGGCCAAAGGCAGGGCATCTCAGATCCCAAGCCAATCATTAGAAGTTAATACTTTTTATATCGACTTGGTCCTTTTTGAGACGTATGCTGTGTTAGTGGGAGGCAGTGCAATTTCACAGTCAAAGCAACATGTCTGTGAGTTGTTGTATTGAAAAATCTGATGAGCAGGAGGCAGCTGAGTTCTTCTGTCCCGGTTGCCCCTCTTCCAGGCCAGCTCTCTGCTGTGGCCCGGGAGTGCAGTGGAGGATGGCCCAAGGGCTTGGGCCCTGCACCCGCATGGGAGACCAGGAGAAGCATCTGGCTCCTGCCTTCGGATCAGCGCGGTGCGCCGGCCGCAGTGGCCATTGGAGGGTGAACCAACGGCAAAGGAAGGCCTTTCTCTCTCTCTCTCTCTCTCTCTCACTGTCCACTCTGCCTGTCAAAAAAAAAAAAAAAAAAAAAAAAAAGAAAAGAAAAAAGAAAAGAAATTGATAGGACAGTTGAAATTGGCCGCTGTCAGCAGAGAGGAGTGCCTGGGCCCCTGAGACGAGCACTGCCCAGGGGATCAGGAAAGGGTCACTTTATTTTTGGGCTCTTCCTGAGAGTCCAGCAGGAATTCAGAGAGAATTTCCCAGCAAGGATAAACAGGTAAGGAGACCTACAGGATCATGGTAGGTGGCGGTTAAGTGCTGCACGTTGGTGACACGGGGTCTGTGATAAGCAGCTGGGGGTGTGCTTTTGAGTTGCGGCCTGAGTGGTGGAGCACCTGTGTGCGGAGGGGAAGTTGGTGGTTGAGGTGGTCAGTGAGCTGCGCTTACTGAAAGTGTGGACTTTGACGTTTTGGCCTAGGAGTCCACCCATGTCACAGTGAAGACAGTGGACGTGTCCGTGGCTCCCCAAAGCCTCACCCTGCCCTGCACAGCGCTCCCCTCCTGCCCCCAGGCCCCAGGCAGCCACTGATAAAGTTTGGGTCACTCAAGACTGGTTTGCACTTTCTAGAAATTTTTATAGCTAGAGTCACACAGGTTGCACTATTCTGTTTCCTGGCATCTTAGTTATTTTGAGATTCCCCTGTGCTGTGGTGTGTCCTGGTTCGTACCTTTGTATTGCTAAGGAACACCTGCTTTGTAGCTGCTGAGATCTTCGTATGGGGTCATGGATTTAGACTCCTTCCCTCTCCCCTCAGCAGGACCTGTGATTTGCTAGGACTGTTTGCAGTGGTCTAAGGGACAAACGCTGGAAGACACACGGACTCACCTGCCTCACTTAGTGAAGGGGTTCCGTGTTCACCCCTCCTTCTGCCCAGGGCTGACTGAGCGTCTCGTAGCCACTGGCGAGGGCAGTGTGATGGTGTTGTGGGCAGGCGGGGGCCCAGCTCCTCTGTGTTCTGTGGTTTTTTGGGATGTATGTTGAGCTGTATTTGTTAATTTTCAGTCTGTGTTGTGCCTGTTTCACTGGATGCCTGTATTGGCGCTGTAACGTTTAGCAGCTGTGTATCCAATTAATCTAGTACCTCTTAATTCCACAGGGGAGTGTAAATAACTACCTTCTGGTTCATGGGAGTATAATGCAGTTGGTTAAGACTGAGATCCAATTGATACAGCTCTCGTTACCTGGTGGGTAGAAGATACCTCCTCTAATCTCTGCGAGGTCTTGATTAAATCACCTCTGCTTCTGTTCTGAGTGCTAGAAGAGCTTCCTGCTTTCGGTTTCTGTGACGATCTGAGAATACACTCGGGATTTGTCAGTTAATCAGCCTCTGGGATTCTGGCTGTTTTTAATGACATTGCTTTGGCAGGAGGACTTAGGGCTGTAGCCCTGCAGTTTTCTGTGCCGCTGTCTGGGAGGCGAGAATGTTGTGGGTAAGGTGCAGGCCTGGCCTGGTAGAGCAGGGTTCTTCCCTGGCTACACCCAGTGTGTTTGGTGTGAGATCAGGATAGGCAGTGGCCGTATAATTGAGAAGGTAGGAGAGAGCCCCCAGAGAGCCTGCCAGGTGCAGACAGCATCGGCCCCTGGGTTTTCTCTGTGCTGGTCTCTGCCCAAGTCCTGAGCCAGCAGCCGAGTGCATCTCTGTGGGGTCGCAGGGTCCTGGGCGCCCGCCTGTCCCAAGACGTAGGAGTCACTGTTACTGTTATCTGTGCTTCTGCGGTCTTGTGAGCTCAGGAGCAAGTGAGTCCACGCTGCTCATCCATCAAGTATATACAGTAAGTGCTGCCCGCCTAGTGGATAGAATACATTGCTACGCTTCTTGTGTTTATTTAAAATTACAATTATTTTAAAAGCTTTAAGCCATTAGGGAAGAGGGAAGATAGATATTAACTGCTATATTCTTTAAAATTAAAAAGATTGTTTTTCAAGACCAGAGAAACAGATGGGAGAGAGGAAGAGAGGGTGAGGGAGAAGGAGTGGAAAAGGAGAGATACAGAGGCTGAGGGACAGACAGGGAGAGTTCCTGTCTGTTGATTCATTCTCCAGATACCCAAAGTGACCAGGACTGGGCCTGGGGAACACAGTCCAGATCCTCCACGTGGTGGTAGGGACCCTGCATCCCAGGAGCAGGAAGCTGGAGCGAGGACCCGGAAACCGGAATTGAAGCAGGCACTGCGGTGTTGGTTTTTAAGTCTTTGGGTTTTGCGTTCTTGTTTATTCCCCTGCGGCTGCTCCCTAGGTGCCTTTCTGTTCAGTTGCGCAGTCTGCAGGTGAAATCCACAGTGCTCATTGTTCGTTGCGTCCGTCTTTGACAGAGACTCTAGCGCCAGCTTCGTTTCTCCCTGACGAGTCGCAGCACAGGCGTGTTCCCTGAACGAGCTGTAGACCGTGATTGGTTGAGTTCTGTCACTGGTCACCCCACTGGGACTTGGAGAGGGTCTCGTTTCTCTTGAAGCAGATGGCAGCCTCGTTGCTGGACAGAGTCAGGGTTTCGCTACAAGGATGTCGTCTGCTGCCCTGGGCCGTCTGGAAGCTCACTGCATCCTAGTGCTGGCAGGGCCGCCTCGGCCTTGGCGGGGGCTGTAGAGCCTTCTGCCGGCTTTACCGCTTCCTGTCTCTTCCCACTTCCCGTGGGTGCTGCAGCACATACACAGCGTGAGAGCATGCGGCTCCCGCACGTCCACGCTGCCCCTTCAGCCCAGCCAGTCTGCACGTCTGCTCCAATGCCAGGGTGCCTGTTCCCTTGATGCTACGGTGAGCTCTGACGGGCTGCAGCTGTACCAGTGTGGTGGGGGAAAATGTTATTTTATGCTGATTTTAGTTTCCATTTCTCACTGTATTGAGTTTGAGCATCTTTAAGTAAGGGTGAATCAGTTGTAATTCTTTTTCTGAAAACTGGCCATGCCTGTCTGCACTCTGCTTATTTTGCTGTCCTGTTATAGTTTTTTGGTCTGTAGGCACTCTGTGTGTGTGTGCACACATGCATACACGTACATGGAGCAGTTAATTTTTATTTCATGTGTCTCCTGATCATGTGAAGATTGTAGGTTGGTATGTTAAGTTGATGAATGTGATATTTTTGCGTCTGAGTCTACAGTGAATCCTTCCCTCCTCTTGTCTGTTTCTATAGTCATATATTTTGGTAAGTGACGTTGGCTCTGATGCTTACTTGCTATATAAAAAACCATCAAGTTTTGTTTTTATGGTTTTTGGTAGATTATTTCAATTAATAATTGGGAAAACTGGGAGAATTTTGGAAGCTACTTCAGTACTGAATTTTGCATTGTTGAATTCAAGTGCAGTGTTTAAAATCTACACTCATCAGTTAGGGGTCATGATTATGACTGTTAGTTGCAGGTACTGTTACATGGATTTTTAAAAAGACTTATTTATTTTTTGAAAGGGAGAGTTGGGAGGGAGGGAAGGAAGGAGAAAGAGAGAGAGAGATCTTCCATCCACTGGTTCACTTCCCAAATGGCTGAACCACCAGGGCTAAGTCAGGCTGAAGCCAGGAGCCAGGAGCTTCAGCTAGGTGTCCCACATGGGTGGCAGGGGCTCAAGTACTTGGGCCACCTTCTGCTGCTTTTCCCAGGCCAGCAATAGCCAAGACATGAACCTGTGCCCATATGTGATGCTGGCATTGCAAGCAGCAGATTTTTCTGCTGTGCCACAATACCGGCCCCCTCCCTAATACTTTTTAATGGATTTCAGCATCTCTGGAGAGATATTTTGTTTTCTTTTTTTTAATTAATTAATTAATTTTTATTTATTTATTTGACAGACAGTTATAGACAGTTACAGACAGGTAGTTATAGAGAGAGACAGAGAGAAAGGTCTTCCTTCCATTGGTTCACTCCCCAATGGCCGCTACGGCCAGCGCTGCGCTGATCCGAAGCCAGGGGCCAGATGCTTCTTCTCCTGGTCTCCCTTGCGGGTGCAGGGCCCAAGCACTTGGGCCATCCTCCACTGCCCTCCCGGGCCACAGCAGAGAGCTGGACTGGAAGAGGAGCAACCGGGACAGAATCCGGTGCCCATATGGGATGCCAGCACCGCAGGTGGAGGATGAACCAAGTGAGCCACGGTGCCGGCCAAGATATTTTGTTTTCTAAAATATATTAATATTTTAGGACTCAGAAATTGTTCTGTCAAAAGTGGAGGGGAACCTGTTTTCCTTACTTGACGGGTTTGGGCCGAGTTGACAAGGAGCTCAGAAAGTGCCCTGCAGGAGGACGTGGGAGAAGCTGGAGCAGCGCTGAGGTGCGAGGGCTGTGCGCCCTGCAGACCTTTGAGGTGTTGTCCTCTGGAGGTGATCAGGCTTCCAGAAGTCACAGGTAGGGACGGTTGGCTTAAAACATGGAGCGCTTCTCGGGTAGCGGATTATTGACTGTGCGTGAGAAATCCCATGGCTCTACTTGGAAGCCCACGCCTGGTATTGTCAGACCTGAAAAGCTTAGCAAGTGTTAGGTGTGGATGGCGAACACTGTTCTCACCGACTTAAGGACTGGTTACTTTGCTCGCCTGTGGGCCTCATCATTTCTGCATGACTTTTGCAGTTGCTGCAGATGAGCGTGGCTGGCTAATGAGGATAATTTTCCAGACTTAGCTGCACATCAGTTTTGGCTTGGGAAGTCAAACAAGCAAAAATTCAAGGTCTCAGTTCAGACTTGGGGAATAAAACACTAAGGGGTGGTGTCTGAGAGTCTAATCCGAGCTGTGTGTGCATGTGATTGCTATGTAGCTGTCCCTCACAGACGCAGCCTGCAGCGCCCGCCCGTGGAGCTGAGGGTGGGGCCCTGCGTAGTGTCTGTCTCTTCCTCCCTCCCTTCCCATAGGGGCAAGGTCTCAAAGTCTGCTCTTGACTGTGAGGGGGAACTTACCGAGATGCACTTGTCCTTAGATGTAACTTGTCACTTGTCACGTTACAACACACTGTGTACTCCCTCAGTGGAGAAGTGGATGTAGTTACAGTCGATTTTTTGGGCTGCCTTTGTAGATTTGGAGTGGTCTTGAAATTTAAGGGTTGTCTTGTTCTGTTTTTTTTTTTTTTTTTTTTTACTGTAAGTTTATTATATAAATTATTGGCTTATTGTAGATGCTTAATTCTGATGTAGACGTAATTAACAAATTTTTGCTTGGCATGTGTGGCAGTTTAATGTATAGCTTTTTCATAAAAGGAAAGAAGAAAATTTAAAATTTTCAGAATAAAGTAGGTCGGATGTGTAAGTACTGTCTAAAAGGAGTGTAATGGGAGTCACATGCTGAATGCATGTAGAATTTCAAAGACGCGAAGAGTAACGAGACTAGGAGAGCTGGGTCAGGTGAGGAATGTTTATGATGTATTTTATTTAACCAATATATTTAAAATGTTTATGTGATCAATATGAAAATTATTAATAAGATGTTTTATATATTTTTAATTTTCCTCTATATCTTTGACGCCTGGTATGTATTTAGCATTTAAAACACAGCACAGTTGGTATAGCCACATCTGAGGGGGGTCTTCATAAAGTTCATGGGGATACTTAAAACGTAAATGTAAGAGACTAAAGTTCAGGCAAATTGTGGGAGAAAAAAGTTGATGGAAAATGTGAATTGTGAAAACTGTGTGGATTTCAAAAAATTATCATTATTTTTTTTTGACAGGCAGAGTTAGACAGTGAGAGAGAGAGAAAAAGGTCTTCCGTTGGTTCACCCCCCAAATGGCTGCTACGGCTGGTGTGCTGCGCCGATCTGAAGCCAGGGGCCAGGTACTTCCTCCTGGTCTCCCATGCGGGTGCAGGGCCCAAGCCCTTGGGCCATCCTCCACTGCCTTCCCGGGCCACAGCAGAGAGCTGGACTGGAAGAGGAGCAACCGGAACAGAACCAGCGCCCCAACTGGGACTAGAACCCGGGGTGCCGGCACTGCAGGCGGAGGATTAGCCTAGTGAGCCACGGCGCCAGCCAAAACATTATTTTTTTTAAAAAAGATTTTATTTATTTGAAAGGCAGAGAGGGAGAGAGAATATCTTGCATCCTTTGGTTCACTCCCCAGTGGCCTCAACGGCCAGGGCTAGGCAAGACCAAAGCATCATCTGGATTTCCCATGTGAGTGCAGGGGCCCAAGCACTTGGGCTATCTTCTGCTACTTTCCCAGGCACATTAGCAGGAAGCTGGATAGGAAGTGGAGCAGCCAGGACTCAAACTGGCACCTATATGAGAAGCCGGTGTTGCAGGCGGCCGCTTAACCCACTACACTGCAACATTGCCCCCCAAAACTTCTTTTTAAGGATTTATTTATTTGAAAAGCAGAGTTGCAGAGAGTAGGGAGAGACGATGGGGGTGGGGGGGATTTCCCATCCACAGGCTCAATCCCCTCATGGCCAGACCAAAGCCAGAAGCCTGGAATTCCATCTGGGTCTGCCACATGGTTGGCAGGGGCCCAAGCACTTGGGCCATCTTGCTCTGCTCTACCAGGTGCGTTAGTAGGCAGCTGGACCAGAAGTGGAGCAGCTGGGACTGGAACCAGTGCTCATTATGGGATGCTGGTGACGCAGATGGCCACTTAAACTGCTGCACTGCATCATTGACTCCAAAGATTTCTGAAACATTTTGTAGCAAAATAAGTTCACCTTTTCATTCCATTTTCCAAGAAGTTTTTGAAGTTGTCTCATAAGAGTGCTCATAGGCACAAGTGGCTGGTGGCCATCACCCTGAAAGGTTCAGATCTGTGCGGTGGTGCGGTGTGCTGTGTGATGCCCATTTAAACACCACCGGGACTCCCTCTCCACGTCCCGTGAGAGGGAGGGATGTGATGCTTCCAAGAGAACAGGCCAGTCTGGTGTGGAAATGGTGTGGATTTGTAAGTAACGTTTTTACATTTTCTTGGCCACATTTTTTTTTTTTTTTTTTGACAGGCAGAGTGGACAGTGAGAGAGAGAAAGACAGAGAGAAAGGTCTTCCTTTGCCGTTGGTTCACCCTCCAATGGCCGCCGCAGCCAGCGCGCTGCGACCGGTGCACCGCGCTGATCTGATGGCAGGAGCCACGTGCTTCTCCTGGTCTCCCATGGGGTGCAGGGCCCAAGCACTTGGGCCATCCTCCACTGCACTCCCGGGCCACAGCAGAGAGCGGGCCTGGAAGAGGGGCAACCGGGACAGAATCCGGCGCCCTGACCAGGACTAGAACCCGGTGTGCCGGCGCCGCAAGGCGGAGGATTAGCCTAGTGAGCCGCGGCGCCTGCCATCCACATTTTAATTAAAGTCCAGGCACCCTTAGTGAAAATGAGAAATGGTAAAGATCAGGTTCAACTTGGGTCCTGCGGGAAGTGCAGGAGAAAGAGCCTGGAGGCTGAGCCATCTTCCACTGCTTTCCCAGGCCACAGCAGAGAGCTGGATCAGAGGTGGAACAGCCGGGACACGAACCGGCACCCATATGGGATGCCAACACCAGGCAGTGGCTTAACCTGCTGTGCCACAGCGTCGGCCCCCCCGCCTGTCACTTTAAACCGAGACAACATGCATCTCATGTGCAGTGAGGATAACCTAGGTTTAAATGTAATAGACTTCAGCACTCAGAATTGGAAAATGTTAGCACTGAGATATTTTGTTTAAGTAGAAAATAGATAAGGTCTATAAGGTTTTGTTGTCATAAGTAGAAAATTCATAGTCTGACTTTTTTGAGTCCATGATATAAGCACACTTGAACTATTTTGTTAAAAAAATCACAAAAAAATATCTAGGTGCTGGTGCTGTAGTGTAGAAGGTTGAGCCTCTGCCTG